TACTAATAATTTATTAAAGGCTTTAGTAAAATCGCTATCCCTCTTATAGAGATTACTAAAAAGGATAAATAATTCTAATAAAATAACAAAGTATAATAAGCTTTTAAACAGCTTAAATTAGCTATTATAAGCAAACCCGTTTTAGTTATATTTAACCCTGACCGGTAAGTTAAACTCGAAACTAATACTTCTAACTTTACCTTAGGAGGATAAATAAGATAATAAGATAATAATAATATACTATACCCTATTGCCTTCTACTCTTATAAGATATATAAAGCAGAGCTTAACTACCTTATCTATAATAAAGAATTCCTAGCTATTATTAATTACTTTAAGGAATTTAAATACTATCTTAGAGGAAGTAAGTACCTAGTAAAAGTTTTTACTAACTATAAAAATATAACTTACTTTATAATAACACAAGAGCTAAACCGATAATAACTACACTATGCTAAATACCTATATAAATTCGACTTTACTATAGCGCATTATAAAGGCATAGATAATAAATATATAGATGCCATTAGCCAATAACCTAATTTTAATATAAGAACTATAAAAACAAAGGAATAACTCCTAGAATTTAACCCTAAAGGAGAATATCAGTTTACCCAACCTATTAAAATAATAGCAAGGACTATCAGATAATAAGAACCCCTATTATAATAAGGATACGACTTTCTTTGCGAATTTTATTTACACCCTCTATATAGGCATCAGGGAATTAAGAAAACATTAAAACAACTATAAAACCAAAGATATAAGTTCAAGAAGAAAGATATCGAGGATGTTATTAAATAATATAACCTCTATATAAGAATAAAAGCCTAGAGATATAAACCTTACAGATAACTACAACTACTACCAGTGGCATAACAACCTTAGGACTTAATTACAATAGACTTTATAACTAAACTACCTTTATTAGAAGAACCCTTAACCGGAATCTTCTATAATAATATCATAGTTATTATAGATCGACTTATGAAATTCTCCTACTATTTATCCTACAAAGAAGTAATAGATACAGAAGAACTTTCTTATGTTTTTTACTAATATATTATTAGTATATATAGGTTGCCTACAGAAATCCTTTCTGACAGAGGACCTACATTTGCAGCAACATTTTAGTAATCACTTATAGCACAACTTAGATTAAACCACCAACTTATAATAGCATTTTAACTGCAAATTAATAGATAAACCAAATAAATAAATTAAATACTTAAATAGTATTTACAGTATTATATTAACTATAAATAGAATAATTAGGTTAAGAAACTACTAATAGCCCAACTTACATATAATACTACATATAACAAAAGTATAAAGCTTATACCAGCTTATACTAACTTTAGATTTATACCAAATGCATACTATGATATATAATAAGAAAAATTAATTAATCTAGCCGCTATACTTAAAAGTAATAACCTTAAAAATCTATATAAAGAAATAAAAATAGAACTCGAATTTATTAGAAAATATATAAAAAACTACTATAACCTAAAACGGTTAAAGGGACTAACCTTTTTAAAGAAAGATATAGTTTACCTAGCCACGAAAAACATTAAAACAGACTAACTAATATATAAATTGGATTATAAATTCATCGGACCTTATAAAATACTATAAAAAATTTCAGAAAATAACTATAAACTAGACCTACTACTGAAAGTTAGGCTCCATCTGATCTTCTATGTTTTATTACTTAAATCAGCAGTAGACATAATATAAATCAAAATAGATAACAAACTATAATAAATTATAAGACCAGAAGTCTATAAAGTAGAGGCAATTAGGAAAATAAATATAATCAATAGATAAAGAATATACCTAATTAAATAGAAAAACTACCTAGAAAGCGAAAATATATAGGAACCCCTAAAACACCTTATAAATACCTAATAACTCCTAAAGAATTTTTATTAATGACCTTAGAAAGTAAAGGATTAAAAACCATATTCTAATTAATAATATCAGCACCGCTAAAAGACTAAATATTTAGTACTGCTGCATCCTCCTCCTAAGCAATAATATTACCGGCAGAGGAATTTAAACCATTAATAATAAATTAAATCCCCTGCTCCTGTAATAAACGCTTTATATAATAAATACAGGATAACCTTGCAATAGCCTTATTTACTTCTTACTAAGCCTTAAGGAGCTTCTCCTCAGCCTCTTCCTCTGCCTATTTTAAATAATCAGACTTATAATTCAGTCAAAGAACTATAAGGAATAATCAGCAGAACCCTATAATAAATAAAAAGGGAATGCACAATAAGTAATCGCAACACCAGAAGTATCACAAGATCGACCTCATTAAGTATATTCGGAACAACAAGAAGAACGCTTAATTATTTTACAACGAAGGCCCTTAGCCTTACAGAAGGAACAAGGCATAACATTAAAACCAAATTTTGCAATTAAATCTGCTAAATAAATGCATTCTAGAGTCTTATAAGATTTTAACTAAAGATTCTGCGATATAATAATCAGCAAGATATATCAGGGAAAATAATTAAGGAAGAGAGTTAGTGCTTACCAAAGCCTAACACGGGAACAGGGAGATATGCAGGTCTCGAGGATAAGACCCAACGGAGGGAAGAGATTATATTACAACCCCCGCGCCTATATCATATAGTCTCCACAGTTTTCACTAATCACCATAGGATCACTTCTCCTAGTAAGTGATCCTCTTTCATTAGATCACTTAGATCACAATGCTCCGAGATTAGATCACTATGGATCATAACTAATCCCCGTAGATCTAACCCTTAGATTACTTATATTCTCTACTAAGCCATAAGGCCACTTCTAGTATATAAATCACATTTATTAGCACTTTCATAGATTCTAGCCCACTAGCTATTAATAAAACTTCTTTATATTAATCAAGCCTAATACATATTAAGTCTACTATTAAGAGATATAATACTTTAATAAGCTTAGTTATATGCCCTATGCAATCTGCCAACAATAAACCTAGCACGGCTTAGTTTATCCACAGTTGGGAACCAACCGTTATAATTTAGCCTTCTAAGGATAGGAAAAACATCTTCTTTATACTTATAGATTAAGGCTACTTATTTAGTTAAATCTTAAGGTTTAAGGTAATAGCTATATAATCTGCTATAACTTAATATTAAGGTTATTATGTTTTTTAGTATAATATATAATGCCTTATATTATATTATATTAAAAATAAATACCTTATTTTATTATCTTACTTTAATGCCTTTGGCTCTACTTTATATATTACTAGATAAGCATTTTGACTTTAAAAAAAGAATATATTATTATATTAATTAAGTCTTTTAAAAAGTTCTTATAAGACTTATAAAATACTTAATCTTATTTATAATTAGATTATAATTAAATAAATAATTTATTATTAAAAATAATTTAAATATATTATTAATTAAATAAAAAATTCCTAAATAATGTTTATTTATAAACTTTAAATTAATAAATATTTAATAATATATTTATATCTTACTTCTAAGCTTAATATTATAAAAGTTATTAATAAGTAATTTCTTTTAAATAATAATATCCTTTATATAACCTTTTATTTATAATTATAATAAGATTATATAACTTAATATATTATTATTTATAAAATATAATCACTTAAAAAGTTAATAAGCTTTTTTTATTTTATATAATAATTATATTTTAATAAAAATAATATATATTAAATTAATTAATTATAAATTTTTAAAAATATTAAAATCTTAGTTTATTATCTAAAGTTTATAATACTTTCTAATATTAAATAATATTTAGAATTATTTAATATAAATATCTTATCTTATAAATAATAACTTAATATAACTTTCTACTTTTTATAGCTTATAGAATAAGAGCCCTAATTATATCTATAAATTTCTAATTTCTTTAATAATTTATATATAATATAAATAAGATTTTATTTATTTCTAATAAGAATTATTAAAGTTTTAATTATATTTATAGTTAGAGGTTAGTCTGATTTTGTCTGGTAGGTTGTATATTAGCGGGGCAGCATCCAGAGACTTTTGGACACTAATTTTAGTACAAGGATGCGTGCGGGGTGGGTCTGGAACATGAACAGGGCTGTCCTAACCTACCATTTCATGCTGCAGCGAATTAGGACAAGGAAAAGAGAACTGAGGGGTTAAGGAAAGAAAGCAAGAAGGGAAATCCAAGAGAAAGCGTCAATATCTAGGGCCAGCCTTTCCAAGGCAGAAAAAATATGCATGATACTAAGTGATTATATGCGTATGGGGTGCGGGTGATCGCATAAGTGGCCACGATCGAGCGATTCCGATAAGCAATCCAAGAGAATTCCAGTGAGAGAAAGAAAGAAGGAATACGATACATATACCAGCACTGGGAAGGGACCTGGCATATTTCCGACCGAAGCCATGGCCCAAATGCGTCCGACAGACTCACCAGGCAGTGACGGACCAGAGAAGCAAGACGATATTATAGAAGAGTCAGCGTGTCATCATGATAATGGTGTTGTTATTACAGCCGGCACCAGACGGGGAGAATAGTGGCTTATATACAATGGCGAATACCAGTCGTTAATCTGCGCCTTCCATGGTTATGCGGTCCGCAACCTCGAGGGTCACTTAAAAGACCCTCACCCAGACATCGACCATCGGGCCCGCGGCGATCTCGTCCGCCGCCATAAGGGTCTGCGGCTGTGAGGACCGGCATTAGAGTGATGAAGCAAAAATGAGTTGATTGTGTTGTTATTAGTTCTAAGTTATATGTGGCCAAGAGGAGCATAGCTCCTTATATGGCATCCACATCCCAGCCACCAGCAGATCAGACCACCTTCTCCACACTGTCTCAACATGCAAACCAATCGCATTGGCTATATCTGCATCAGGGTTTTCCAACTCAGTAATACATAGAGTTGAGAACAAGAGACGCACATGTGAAGTCTTACCATGCATAGTTCAGGAGAATTATCAGCGGTCATTGTGACTTCCCAGCACTAATTTTCATCCCAGGCGCTTCCAGGTTCTGGGTTTATCTGCTTCTCCTACCACTGCCGAGTGCTTGGAAGAAGCAATCTTATGGGTTGTGATAGACCTGTTCTTGGACTTGGCTTGGAGCTGCCGGTCGCCATGACTAGGAACAGAGGAGACTTCGTCATCGTCGGCCAGCTCGGCCCCATAGACATTGGGGTAATTCCTGAAGCATGCCTGCATGTCCCTGAAAGCAAAATCAGTCATCGTTATAAAGGCAAATATCTCAGCAGTCAACGCACTGAAACTTGCCAATGCACTCTATTCCTCTCGGCTCCACGGTTGAGAGCATGAAACAACTGAAAGCGGCCTTGAATTCCTCTCCGCATGGACCATGGGCCATGCCACCTAGGCACGAGCAGTCCCAATTAAACTCTCCGGTCTCGGGATCGAACGCGGCCTGCTGACTGGCGTCTTCCTCATCCAGTGCTGTTCGATTATCCGCGGCTATGGCACTCTGGGCATTCGTTCGTGATTCGTGAGCCTCAGTTTGTTTCCCATACTTTGGAGCGGAGATTGTCATTTTTGCCTGACTCTGCTTACGTTTCTGAGATATGGAATCAACCGCGGGACGGTCGTCACCGGGCAGGGCGAGGGTGGGAGCTGGTTGTGCTGGTGAGAGTTAACCGTCTGTCTTTCCCCTCAGCTAGCGACCAGCACATACAAGCAGCATCGGCAAAGACGGGGCTAGCGTTCAAGTATAATAAGATGCCAAACGAGAGACCTAACCGTACCGCTGCGCTCCTCCATGTTCGGGATCTCTCACGAGTTGATGTCGAGGCTAACCGTCGAGCTAGACTGGGGCGCAAACTGGTAATTACAGGGCGCGGGACTGACCGTAAAGTTGTGCAGAGCATGGTAGCGTGGGATAGTTCATAAAGGACTGAAGAACGCCAGGTCATAAATGTGTGACATGCAAGTAGAAGATTAAAAAGAGAACCAGTTAGCAAATAGGTAGTTAAGTATAGGGCTTCGGGCCAACAACGGCGTGACTAGAAAAGCCGACTCCGAAAGCTCGGCCGAAGAAGCAGAGGGAAAATTGGTTACGAGCTCCTCTTCTACTTCGTAGGGCCCATCCCCACTTAGACGTCTTTTTTGCCAATAATCAGTATATTTTGATCCGGCATGAGAGGGCTGATATGCATCCTAGAGAAATCCACGCCCGGAGTTCTTTTTTTTCTCCCGCCCCTCAGGGTCTAAATAGTCCTTAATCATCTCTTTGAGAGATTTGCACTAAGGCTCAGGCGGATACCTTAAGCAAAGCCCAACCAGGTCTAGGAATTTTTGCCTCGTCGGTTTCCACGCCTAGTCGGGGAGTTAAATCATATGCTTTATGCTCATTGCTAGTATAGTTTAGCCAGGTATGGTTAGTTTTTCCACCTTAAAGTGGGGTCTCTGAGATTCCTTGAGACTTGAGACCCTGCCTGCTTCACATCACAAAGGTTATTACTATCTTTTCAGGCAGCACAAGACTCCAATAGGTCACTGGCCCCGCATAACTTGTTATTCTATTTAATTTTATTTCCCCTCTTTTAGGCTAATACTCTGCGCTATTCTTATTTAAGAGGTATTTTATTAAGTAATCTTGCCTTTCCTTAATCTGCGGTTTGTTTAGTTAAAACGCTTTGCGTATCTCTGTACCACTTCTCGTGTATATATGACCGCTCTGGTATAACAGTAGGGTAGTCGCACGGGGTATCATGTTACCTATCGGTTAGCTGTCGGCGACCTTAGACCGATTCTGGAAGGCATAATAAGCAGACCCCTCTCCGAGGAAGGCGGGGGGAACAGTTCTACAATAGACATACAACTGAGGACATCAAGGCACGCGCGATCTGTTCAACACTTACACCCTTGTCGGTACCCCGCTGGAGACTTGTGCCGCTTAAAGAGATACGGTTATGAAAGGTTTCATCAACGAGCTGAGGGTCGAGAGTGGGGGCATGACTCCTCCATTGTAGACGTCATTTGGTAGGGCGCTTGGCTAGGTTTAGTTAGCTTTTCCACCTTGTTGACACCGCGTCATTAGCACTTCTTCTTCTTCCGCTCGTGCTTTTGTCTAACATCGGTAGCTTCACTGACTTCTCGCCAGATATCACGCCGAATAGTTCCACACGTCTCTAGATCACATCATGGCTAGATTCCGCGGTGGGTGCTTTAACTGCCGACAACGTCGGAGAAGATGTGACCAGCAGCGCCCGTCATGCGCAGCCTGCCTCCGGCGACACGTTGAGTGCTCGGGCTATCCAGCCATACACCGTTGGATCAATCATGCTGCCGAGGCGAGCATCCATCCAGTACATGCTGCCCTGGATAACTCCGGGCCAGTCTCCAGTCAGCTGCCTCCTGCCGCTCAGTCCAGCATGATGATTCCTGCCTCTCCACCCATGTACGAGTCTCGGACAACGCAGCTTCTTTTCAGGAAATGTACGACCATATTCTTACCTTGGCTCGTGACACTGATGATTGAATACATCTCTTAGTTCTCAACTCGGGGCTGATGTTACTCTACAAGACACAACAGCATAGCTGGATCCAGCCGTTTTTTATCAACATGTCGGCAGAAAGCCAGTCATTTGCTATAATGAGCGCTGCGCTTCAGACTTATATTGATCAAGGTGAAGCTTGCCCTTCAATCCCGACTCTGGAGTGCGTCGATATTGCGTTGAAGACCTTTCGCCTTGAGGTAGCCTCATACCGTGGAGGCTTTCCTTCCGGTACGATATGCTCTGGGATTCTTCTCTGTGCCATATATGTAAGTCCCGCTCGTGACTTCAGTATCTTTCTTTCGAATGCATATCAAAGGGTTTATGGCTGAGAGAGTGATTCTGTAGCTCCTTCAAGGTCGGCCGTATACGCAATGCCTTCGAATGATGGCCCACATGTATCATCTGACCAACCCAACGCTGATACTCGTCCCAAGTCCGGAGAAGGACCTTACTGTTCGACACGCTATTGAATACCTTGCCGTCGCAGACCTTCCCTACCTCGTCTTAGGTAGGGTTTGCTCTTCTCTTTGTATTTGGAAACGGTATCGTGAAGCCCAGGATGACTGGGAGGGAGGGAGGGTAATGGGTATAGACGCTTTTACCGGACTGCACATGGGACTACTGGACATATTTGGCGATATGATGCATGACAACGTCGACCATTCAGTGACACGTCTCTGGGAATGGCCGAGCGAGACCGATGACTTCATGCAACGCCATTTATGGGATGCCTGGAGGTTTGCTGGCATTATTGATGCCCGTCGACGGGAGAGATGCAGGGCAAAAGACCAAGATATGGCTGTAGGCGGAGCCTCGACGCGGGTGCCCGTGACTAGCTCGCTTCTCGGCATACTGATGGGGACCATCCATACCGTGTATGCCTGCTCTCTATTGCCGGAGAATCGACATCTCTTAGCATTAAACGGCCTCATCTACCCCCTCATTGTCGCCAGTCTGGAAGTACCGTCTCTGAAACAGCATCCAGAGTGGAAACGCACACTGGATGACGTACGTCGAAGGTTTGAAATGGGTCGTACTTATGCTCTTTCAAGACTCACATTCCAGTTGCTCGACGAAGCTTGGGAAGAAGGGTCATCCTGCTTTGATATAGACCATGCCGCTCGAAGCAAAGGCGTGGAGCTGGCGGTTATGTAAAGGACTGTCACATGATATAGTAACATCTTCCACTACCATGCAACCACGCATCGTGTCTTGAAGATGTGCCGTCAAATAACTAGATAACCTAGCATGGTCTTAATAGACTTACAGTATTCCTTCGTCTATCCACTCCTGAAAACATTCTTCAGCTGCACTCCGGCGCATCTTGTCAAAGACACGTTGTCTATGGTAGAAGAGATTGGCCGGCCAGGCAGAGAGGAGGTGGCGGCTCGGAAACAATGCAGCAATCTTCTAAATCCCGCAACCCAATCTGCGGCCCAGGCTCAGCCCGCCTTAGCCTGAACTCGACATTAGAATATTGACTTCATTTTGGGGGGACTATAGCCTTAAATTGACGTTGTAAACTGAGTGTATAAAGATTAAACATATGTGACCTCAACGGTGGGCTCTATGAGGAAACTAATACTGAGTGACTCAAACACTTTAGGACACGATTACAATGATAACCATAAGATCGCCACAATTGGCAAGGATAATACAAATCAGGATAAGGTAGTTCACCAGCATTCTAGATACCGTGCCAGTAAGTGGCATGCTGTTGGACTTTGAGTGGAGGATACGAAGGTGATAGCCGAGCTGACCACGATGGCCAACGAAAGTAGACCGTGCCATCACACCGCCACAGGGAGCAATAAATATCTAATCTCGCTTGTTTTATGCATAAAGATAAGCAGTTTTTCAGCTCGCGACGTTTTCGTCTGGCTGCACATGCAGGCAGAGCGGGGAAAGGCATCGAGAACGATCTGTCTCAGCCAAGACGCCGTAGTGACGCAAAGCTATCTGACTATTCGTTGCGAATAGGGCGCCATACCGCTAGAACACGGAGGTTCACGTTGATGCAAGGGTCCGAATTCGTCGAATATCGGTCGTCGTTCTTGATCAGGTGTGAATTCTGAGGCAAGCCAGAGTTGATTGTGGCGAGCTGAATCTTCAATGCGGTTAGCGGATTATTGCGGCTGAACGAAAGTGCTCAGAACACAGACAAGGTAACTTCCCATGCAAAGCGGAGGTTTTGCATTGATGGGATTCGCAACGAAATCCCAAATATAAAAACCCACGGGTTTGTACAGACGAGTCAAAGATCCAACGCAAACGTTGGCTACTGGAATTAAATCGTTAAACCGCCTACCGGAGTAACCTTTTCTATTCTTCAAACTGGCTGAACCAATCAATCCTTGGTGCGGAGATATCAACAAACGCGCCGCTGCGGCTCTGTCTTCTGGTAGAACCAACCCAGTCGCTGCCATGGACACCAACACCTCTGCCCCAGGTTCTGAACTTCCCAAGTACTCCTGCCGTACCCAAGAGGAGACGGATCCAAGCTTTGGTCCCGCTCCTATTTCCAATCTCAAGGGTACTACTGGTGACAACGCGCCCGACAAGCCTGATTCTCTCGTCATCGGTTTCGGACCCATCGTGCCACGCTGGGACGTCACACCACCCGGTGGCACAAAACTCCAGTACTTTGTGAGAGTGGACACTTTTCCAGATGACGACAAGGCAACGATTGCAGCCAAAGAATTTCAAGCTGCTGCTGATTCCTGGGTCAAACTCAAAATTGGCCTTGGCTTCTCTCAAACAACTGATCGAGAGATCGCAAATTTCTACCTCGTATATCAAGCCAACACGGAGTTTGATGAGGGAGTGCTAGCTCAAGCATTCTTCCCACATGAGATTGATCAGGATGTGATTGTTTTCTCAGATGCCTTCAAGGGGAGTAATACATCTATCTTGAAGGAAATCTTTCAGCATGAAATCGGTCACATTCTTGGTCTTCGACACGAATTTGCCATTGTAGGTGATGACATGGGCAACAAACCTGAGGGTTTTGGTGCTAAGCAGTTCTTGGCGAAGAACCCCAAGTCAGTCATGAGCTACAACATACCTCCCAAGATTCAAGTTAGCGATCGCACGCAAACTATCGACTTCTACAAGTTGCCCAATGGATTTATGATTGGCAGAAGTCCTGTCACGGACTTTCAGCCCAAGATCCGTAGCAAGAACCGATAGATGCTATAACAAGTTAGCGCTGAGGTTTATGGATTTGCTTACTTAGTTGTAATTTATATGATATAGCATATATAGTAAAGGCACAGATAGGTTTATGGGATACTTAAATTACTTAAAATATTACCTAAAATATGTATTACCTTAATATTTAATTAAAGTGAATTTTATTATTATATTCTTTTATCTTAATTAGTATAGCAGTGTTAATAAGTGTAGCTAGAGCTTAGACTAAATAACTGCTAATACCTTTATAAAGCCATTAGGTTATATTATTATACTTGCCTTATATTTATATTATTATAAAAATAAGAACTACTAGTTAATAAATTTAATATTAGGAGTTTTAGTCTTATATAATATCTATAGGTAGTATAAGTAGTATTTAAAGTTAGTTATAATATAGGTATATTTAATATTAGAAGTTACTTAACTTATATTTGATTTTAGCTTATCTTATACCTTAAAAGTTTTAATAAGAATATATCCTTAATATGTTAATTATATAAAAGATTATTTAATATAACGTACACGATAAGCATGCCGATCAGACAAGCATGCCGATCAAAAATCTCAACCTTCTTTAAATAAATCGCAATAAAAGCACCATAAACCATCTAATTAATTGATTCTAGTTACTATACTCATCTCCAGAGGCCTCAATTCCCTCCTGACAGGTTCTTGCATTATGTCCGGTCTTAC